CAGGCTGGAGTCCCGGCTTAGCCTGGTCCGGCCCTAAGCCGGGCCCCGTGCAGAAACGGGGAAAAGGCGCCTGCCATTAACTGCGAAACCTCGTGGAAATAGCGGACGTATATAGTTCCATAGAAGGTGGAAATGGTTAGACAGTCGGCTGGATTTCCATTTTCAGGTGCGTTCCTTCTTACAGTGTATGCTCTCAGGAGTACTGCAGGGTTGCTCACGAAGCAAAAGCAGCCTTCCCACCACCCCTTTTAATCCCACTGTGGCAGCCTGAGTTACAGTCCTGGTCCAGCTCTCATCTCTCTGTAATAACTTGCTGTGCCTCGTGGAGTTGTCATGGCTAGGTTCCTCATGCCTAGAGAGTTACTCCGTATTCACTGAGAGTAGTAAAGTTAGCCTAAAATCATATAACTGATACTGCATTATTATGTAATAATCAGATAGTAAGTCTGATTTGTGTGTGTTAGTGTGTGGCAAACCTTGGTCCTTGACTTTCTCTTTCTTCTCACCAGATAAAAACCTGGTTTCAGAATCGTCGTATGAAGTTCAAACGTCAGACTCAAGATGCCAGGGTTGAAGCTCTTTTCTCAGGCTTATTTCTGCCCTATCACTGTTACCCAGATATTGTTACATCCAGCTATTCTCATGGGATGGATGTCAGTGTCTCTTCTACCTCCACTGTTACTCTTCACCCAGCTATGCCAAGTCCTGCCTTGTTGTTACCTCCTGTTCCATCTCAGGCCCTTGAGCCAGTTCTGCCAAGTCCAGGTTTAGTGTTGCCTCCCAGTCCAAAATTTTCTTCTTACCCTTCTGTAATTCCAGCAATGACTCTAACCAAAGACCATAAAAGACTGAGGTTCCAGCCAAATCTTCCTTCCTGTTAAATGAGCCAAAATTTATCTGTAATCTGAACTGCCAAATATCTTTTAAGAGTACTTATTTAACTTATTTGTTATATCAAATATGTGGATTATTTAATGTTTTCTAAAATCTTGCCTTATTTTTTATGTTAAGGGGACAAAGGAACTAACCTATTCTAGAGGAGTAATATTAAAGGGGGAAGAGAAGGACTTAAAACTGTCCTTATTTCTTCACTGTCTTTAGTAAGCTATATCAAAACTTCCATGACAATTTTCCCATCCATAAGCTTCAATCTGTTTTAAGAGCCACAGCCTATGATTGTGTGGGGATCCCCACTGAAAAATGAAGAGTACTGCTTAGACTTCAATACAACTACTTACACAAATACTCTAATTATATTGTGTAGTAGACAAACACCAAATGGGATTAAAGAATCTGACCATTCTACCTGGTTGTGGGTTGAGGGTGTAAAAATGAACTAATTTTAAGGAAAGATCTGTAAACTACAGTAAATACGTAACTACAGTAAATAGAATAACAGAGGTGGCAGGCCTGATAAACAAATCTGAGCAAGTGACACAAGGCCCTATGTGCAAATAAAAGCTGCTGGGGTATTGTCCTTTTGTCTGGGTATGTTGCAGCGTCCCTGAAGTGAAATCTCTCCTTTATATGTGTAGATAGCCTCATTTCTCTTTAAATGCATAGAGAGACTAACAATTATTTGTCTGCCCAAGCCTGTGATGCCAGCGTCAACCATATTTGTAATTTAAATCTGATGATGGAAAACACTTGAGCTGTTAAAGTTCAGACCTTTTGTGACATTCAGAATGAAAATGTTTTAATTATTACTTCTAAAACTTCAGCTGTAACCTGACAGCTTCTTTAATTTTAAGCTGCAGGATTCTGTAAACTTGTTCTCAGGTGTATCAAGACTTCATAAAAATCAAAAAGCAAGCTTTATGGAGAAAGGAATAGCAAAGAGCAAAGCCGGTAGCAAAGCACAGAGATAAACAAATACGAGCAGAGAAACACAAGCTCTTGCATCAACATAAAGCAATTGGAGCATGTGTGATTACATCTCCTTCCCTGACCATCCTAACCTGCTTCCTGGAGAGAGAGATTAAAAAACACTCCTATGTAGAGATTATTCATAGGCAAAAAAGTCAGCAAAAGTTGTACCAGGCCCTCCCTCCCCCCTTTCATTTAATAAAAGTTACCTTTTGGGGGTGTTTTTTAAAGAGTGGAGTTGGTATCGCAGTTAGCCTTTTGGTAGGCCAACAGGGGTACATCCAGGAGGGGGTGAAGACTTCCATCCTAACTTCTTTCCCCCCTGTATCTCATCTCCTTTTCTGATTTTAAGCTTTAGGGAAAAACAAATCCAAGTGTGCCACAGCTGAGTTTCTCTCCCACTATAGCTCCTCTCAAACAGTCCTGCAGGGAAATGTGAGAGATTTGCAAAAGATTTAATCCCTCCCCACCTTTCCCCTCATTTTTCAGTGCCACATCAGGAGTCTGCTGCTCTGAGATGCTGTCTAGGAAACTGAGGAGACAGAACTGTGCATTTTTCAGTCACTTTGAAATACAGCCTACAGCGTGAGGAAAATAAAACATAGCTATTTATGAGTGGGCAGCCTGAAATTCCAGGCCCTCCTCTCCTGCTCCCCTCAACAGTTAGCAAACTTAAAACATGGCAAAGTCCTGCCATTAGATCCTGCTGGAGTTAATAAAGCATCTGGGTTAGAACGGCGTAATTGGAAAAAATTCTCCTCTCTGCTTCCACAGCAGCCTTGCACAGGTGAGACACCCCTAGGCTATTAAATTGAAACTGATGCCTCACTAGATTGGAGGGTGGAGGAAGGAGATTTAGACTACAATGCAATGATCAGACTGGTTTCTAATGCAATTAGAACAACTTTTAGATGAATTAAAGAAATTTCATTAAAGAGTAAAATATCAAGAAATAAGAAATGCCAACCAAATCCTCTAATTAAAGGAGTGAAAACTCTGTTCCCAGCAAAACTACCACACCTTTCGTAATAGTGAACTTTAATAGCTTGCAGAACTAGAACAAAAACCTGAGCTGCTCCATTTAGATGTTTCTTCTCCTGAAAAGATCAATTTACTAAAAGAAACAAAACAAAAAGTATGCAATTATCATGAACATCATTAGCAATGAATCAAAGGGCCAAATTCGAAGATTAAAATCTCATCTAGATAGTGCAGCCATGAACAGAAGAACACAAGTTATGCTCTTAAATCTTTTACAAGGTACTGGCTTTAGTAATTGTAAGCCAATTTAAAATTCCATACCAAGGGCTCCAACTATTTAATCACTGTTTAAAGATATGGGATTAACACTATTGAGGCTTTCAGGTGAAAGATGCACTAGCAGTGCAAAGCAGTAAAGTAATAAATATTTAGAAGAGAAACTCACTGAGCAGCTTATCCTTCCTCCTGTGGCATACCTGTGAGGATGCCTAGCCAAAAGCACCGTACAATGCAACTGATAAGGACCAAACTCCCAAAAGCACTCAACAAACTGAGAAAATACCATTCGACATAGGTGTAGGAAAATCAGGTAAGACATATGAAAACAGCTAACCCCATACTCCATGTGTGAGCCAAAACAGGAGTTCTGGTGACCAGAATTCTTTACAACACCCTTTTAGTGCAACTTTGTGTAGAGTTCACACACTGGAGTCCAATTGGATTTCTGCTTTTCACATAACAAAGAAAAACTGGAGATATGCAATGCAAACCAGTTTCTCAACAATCCCATTTCAGTTATTTTTTTAACTTAATAGTTTTGCCCTATATGGTGGGATATTTGGCAAAAGCAAGTTTCTGCCACTGCTTTTTTCGCACCAGTTCCCTATCAACAGCTGCAAGTACAAACGGCTGACGGCACAGAAGCCACAAGTGCATCATGGCTCTCGCTGAGGCTACAGTGTAATTTCAGACATTTCTGAAGTGCCTAAAGAGCAGTTTGGAGTAATATATTCTTTATCACATCCAGATCAAAGGAAGCAAGTAGATTACCATCAGTTTTACACATTAACCACCTTTAAAACGGCAGGAGATGAAACCAAAAATGACTAAGAACAGCATCACAGCTGATAAATTTTAATATCAATTCGTACAAATATAAAATTACTCTTCATATTTAACTTAATATAATAAACACACACACTTCCAAATCAGGCAGATTCTCAGCACGAAGAAAGAAGCAGCAGCACAAAAGAAATTACAGCATACAGTATTTTCCTCCCTTGCCCGGCCTTTGCTTTCACGATAACGCATACACGGGATGGTAGTGCTTGTCCATTCTGTTCTGAATAACCGCATGGAAAGACGGATGCGGAAGAAAGTTTTGATGGTAAAAAGGCAGCTCGTTTGCCATAAAACGGTAGGTGCTCTGCGGTGCATCGCAGGCCGGGAAGTGGAGGCCGAGCGGCAGCG